GCCGAACCAGGAGAACATTAACAACAATATTATATGATCATCAACTGTGAATGACTTAGCTATTCTCAGCAATACAATAAGAAAATTTCAAAGAACTTATGATGAAAAATGCTACCCTCTTCCAAGAAAGAAATGATGGAATTTAAATGCAGACCAAGCATACTTTTTACTTTCTTTATTTTTCTTGTTTTCTTTTCATCTATGTTTTATTTCACAACATGACTAATATGGAAATATGTTTTACATTACTGCACATGTATAACCTATATCAAATTTCTTGCCTTCTAAATGAAGGGGCAGGAGACTGAGGGAAGGAGGAAGAGAATTTAGAACTCGAAAGTCTAAAAACATGTTAAAATTGTTTTTATATGTAATTGGAAAAAACATATTTTTTTAAAGAGAGGAAAGGCAGGAATAGAAGGCAACCTTTTTAGCCACTGTCTGCTTCCCATTTTTACTAAAACAAACAAACAAACAAAAAACCTTAGGATATTCCCCAAAGTCTGCATTCTTACTTTAAAGATGGGAGGATGTAGCTGTGAGGATTCATTCTGTTCTACCATGGGGCAGGGAAGGAAAGAAACTGGCCAGAAGCAGCCAATGCTGATATTCCAAAGGGAATTCAATTCAGTTTAGTGCTAGGCACTATATCAAGCAACATGAGTACTAGGACAAAAATGAAACCTGTCCTAAATCAATAACAGCACCTGCCCTCAAGGTGCTTACATGCTATTAGGAGATATAACAGGTAAACATACTAGGATATACAAAATATATGCAAAGTAGATACAAAGACTTTTTTTTGTTTGTTTGAGGAAGGAACTAGTAGCTGGGGGCAGGCAGGGATGATATAATAGTTTTCCAACAGGAGGTGGCACTTAGGCTTCGATTTAAAAGAAGTGTGGGTTTTTATAAAGCAGGGTGGAGGAGGAACCATATTCCAGGCATGGGAAACAGCTCGCGCAAATGCACAGAGACAGGAAATGGAATGTCATGCATGAGCAGCAGGTGCAGTCTGGCAGGAACATAGAGTGAATGTAAAGGGGACAGCAACTCAAGCCAGAGGGTGGTGGGTTTTATAGAGCTTGGTCATGCTATTGGAGGTATACAAGATGTACACAAGTAAATAAATTCAAAGTATAATGCAAAGAGAGAGAGAGAAAGAGAGAGACAGACAGACAGAGAGAGAGAGAGAGAGAGAGAGAGAGAGAGAGAGAGAGAGAGAGAACATTCATAGGTAGTAGTTGGCTAATGACTGGGCTGATTAGGAAAAGCCTCATGTAGGAAGTTGCTCCTGAGCTGTGCTTTGAAGGAAAGTAGGGATTCTATGAGAAAAGTAGCAAAGCTTTAGAGACTTTAGAAAAGACAGGATGTGACAAAAAGAAAGCGCATGAAGAAACATATTGCCCCATCCCTTCACAGTTCTTCCCTATCCTCATCCTTAGTTGTTGTCATTTTAGCCAATCAGGTGTGAGGTGGTACTTCAGAAGTTTATTTTATTGTGCTTTTCTCTAATCAATAGTGATTTTGAGCATTTTTTCTATATGACTATAGGTAGCTTTGATTTCTTTATCTGAAAACTGTCTGTTCATATCCTTTGCCCATTTATGAATTGGGGAATGACTTATATTTTTATAAATTCGACTCAGTCCTTTATATATTTGAGAAATGAGACCTTTATCAGATATTTCCTTCCATCCTATTTTCCCTGTTTATCCTTCTCTCTCTCCTTTCACCCTGTCCCTTCTCAGAACCTTCCTCCATCCTACTTTCTTCTCCCCCTACGAATGGAGCCTCTGCCTAAAGCCATGAGATATATCGCCAGATGTTTGAAGCTAGGGAAGGTCACATACAGTCATTGCCTAGGGGTAAAATGACAGGAAATCCTCCAACCCCCTGGAAAGCTGCAATAGGAGATGTATTACAGCCAGCACTGGAAATATGAACACATTTTCCCATAGGGACACTACTTAAAGTGATAGTTTGCTTCACAGTGAATACTGTTAATGCAGTCCTATACTTCGGACAGTACAGATTAAATGGGATTTGAGGCTGTCCTGGATTCCTAATAGCATTGTTTCTTTGAGAAAAGGCATCCAAGTGTCAAACAGCCAACATACAAATTACCTTTGGGAGCACAGCTTGTTCATAAATCAGAGGCTGCCTCTAATTTCACACATAAAGATCAAATAAACATTTTCATATTATATACAGTATATCAAATAAAACAAAAAGTCCTACAAAATAGACATTATTTCAATAATTTGAATCCACTTTGATGGCAATGTTTAAATGCCCAGGAATGATAATTTACTTTTGAAGATAAGTACATGCAGTCATAACTAAAAATCCTTGCACCTAAGTTGGAAAGTAGGGGAACACCCCCCCTCAGAGGAAGAGGTATAACCCCAGGAGACAAAGGGGAAGAAGTTGTCCCCAGAGTACCATGAAGTTTCTATGCTCTTCTTTCTGGAGGGTGGGGATGGAGGGTATGAGCAGAAGGGGAATGTGAAAAGAGGAAACTTGCCTTGGGAAATTACTGAAAACACTGAGAGTGGGACAAGTAGGAGAATAAGAAACACACATAAACACACTCACACAGACATCATTACGCACTATTCGTAAAAGGGACTTACATGATTATGAAATTCAGGACAATGATACACATCATTTGAATCAGATGCATGGTAGTACAAATGCTGACTTGTGAATGCTTTATTTCTCTCTGTCTTGTGAAACATGGACCACCGACACTCTGACATTTGATTAATTTTAAAAATTATCACTGTGGCAAAATCTGCCTGATTTTTGCCACTTTCCTCCCAAATCAGTGTAGATGCCTGCTTTGGAGAAAAGAGAAACAGAAGTTGAACCTCTGTTTTGAACTTAACAAAATCAGAGAATTCTTCCTCCCTGCAGGACGAGTAAATCACACCTTCAGTTGTCATTGATTTCACCTCTCTTTGTGTGTTTATGAATTAATAAATTATAGTATTTTCTTGTGCTAAATAACATTGATTAGACCCCACAGGGGACTAATTGATTTTTGTTTACAAAAAGAACCAATATATTGAGTTTTAGGAAATGTGCAACCTCAGACGCCATAATGGATTTTATTTGTGGGTCTAATTTTAAGGATTCCTAATATTGAAATGTGTACTCATCCTAATGCTTGTTTACATCTTCTGCCCACCAGAATGGCTCCTAGGCCTAGATTCATATGAGGAAGAATACATGAAACCATAGCTAATCTTCTCCCTCTACATATTGAAACAGCATAAAATAATCACTGTAGTCATGAGCCAGGAATAACAATAATAATAGCTAGTATTTCTATAGTGCTTTAAAGTTTCTAAAAACTTTACATTTATTATTTCATTTTATCCTCACAACAACCCTGGGATATGGGTGCTATTATTAACTTCATTTTAGAGAAGAGGAAAATGAGTAGAGGTTAAATGACTTGTTCAAGATCACACACATAATTAGTATCTGAGGTCAGAGTTGACTCAGGTCTTTTTGCTGCGAGGTCCAGCCCTCTCGATGACAAGAAAACCAATCTCCCATCAAAGTCTTAGCCTCATATCTTCACTTTCCTAAGCAGCATAGGATGTCTTTCCTTAGTAGTGACTGTTAAACTGTAGCAAGACCTCCCAACCTTCTTTGGAGAAGTAGGAGATGATATATGTACTGTCAAACTCAGTTCATGTTTTGATTAGTGGGGAATAAGCATTTATATAGCACTTTTCAGGCACTGTTCTAAGCACTCTGCAAATATCATCACATTTGATCCTCATGACCCTGGGATATAGGTGCTATCATTATCCTCACTGTACAGTTGAGAAAAGTGAGTCAGACACCATGAGGCCCAGGACTCTGTCCACTGTGATTAAATATCCAAAAAGATAGACTTTATCTCTGGTTTGACTCTAAACAGATGAAATTTGATGGAGGAAAATTTTCACATTTTTGTCTTACACTTGGGTTACAGAAATCTACTTCACCAATGCAAGATGGAAGAGGTTTAACAGCATTTTTGCCTAAAGAAGATCTTGTAGTTTTAGTGGACTGCAAGATCAAAACAAGTCAACCATGTTTTATGGGCAGCCAAAAAGAAGATGATCTTGGGCTGCATTAAGAAGCAGAAATTATAAGAACAAGATTTGAGCCCTATAATACTTTGCTTTTGTCAGACCAGAAGGAGTGATTTATCTGTTGTAGTAGAGCTTCTTTGGGAGGCATAGGATGGATGGTCCATAGCCCACAAGGTTCCTTTCAACTTTGAAATTTCATGACTTCCTGGTTCTGTGAGCCAAGTCAGTTAACAGATAACCTTAGAAAGGGAGAAAAAAGAAATTTACATGATAAAATTACATGATAACTTTGTGGCATATTTGGACAAAATAGCAAGTTGTACATAGTACATTTACAGTTTCATGTGTAATCATCATTTTTCATTGTACTGTGTTACAGGAATGCTTGTTTTGTTCCATAAATTGAAAATAAAATAAATTTTAAAAAAGAAAATAAAAAGACCAACATAAAAAGAGTAGACATTTCAGCTCACAAATTAAATAGTTAAAATAATCTGAGATTTAAAAAAAAAGTTGGTTAATATGCAATATACCACTGTCGTTATTTAATGGGTTAGGATGATCAGTACAGTCACTGTTGAGTTCCAAATGGTAGCACTATCAGATGCAATGGAATTTATTATTAGGTCATCTTACAGATACCTTTAAGCAGCAGCAGAGAGGGTGGAGGTTGCCAATAAAAATTAATATGATGCAAAGATATTGCTTAGCATCATTATGAAGAACTAGCCTGTGGCATTTAGAACTAATTGATGGTGTAATCAGTGATACAGAGTTGTGTGAATTCAGAAAGATTTTGATCTTGGTTAACTTATGCTGTCACCAAACCTGTTCGAAAAATTTTCTTATCTTAAACAAACCAGAACCACAACATTTGTGATTTCCATTTCTCTTTTTTGTTTAAAGGGAAGGCGAGGGAAAACAGGACCCCCTGGAAAACCAGGACCACCGGGACCTCCTGTAAGTAAATAGTAGTGTCTATGGCTTTTAAAAAGTGTTTGTTTATGGTGTTTTAATATTATTTTTATCTACTTTTAACATCAACACTCCTGATACATACTCATGTACCCAGTAACCCCTTCCTCTTCAGAAGTGTTGGATTCAGACCCAAGTTGCTAATGTCCCTCAGTACCATCCCTAATGCAGCTGCTTAGCTGTTCCACTCAGACTCTGTGGGGAGTGGTGATTTGGGGAGAGAGGAGGGTAGATCCTATACCTCCTGTACTCCAAAAGCATCCTGGATGTCAAAAAGCATGCTGCCCCCCAGAGGTGACTATTTCAGGATTCCAAAGAGAGAGGCCCTGGTCTGTCCCTGTTCGATTCTGATTTTCTCACTGTCCTAAATGACTCACCTGTGATAAATAAAGACACTGTCCATTCTGTGTGACTCTTGACTATGTTCTCTCATAAATTTGACATAGGAAGTCTACCCACTGTACTGGAGTCCTTTCTCGCTCTCTCCTGACATCCAGAGAATACCACTGGATCCCTCTAGCTGTCTATCTGTCATCCCTAGTCCTTGCCGTATGACCAGCCTATCCTCTGTTCCCCTCATTCATTTCCTGGATGACATCTTTTCCTCAGGGTTCTTTAAGACATTCTGGTAAAATACAAGCTTCCTGAGAGCAGGGACCATTATCTCTCTTTTTGTTTGTATCCCTAGTGTTTAGTAGGCATTTTGTAAATACTTGTATTGAACAGACCATGGAGAGACTATTGAGTGCCTAGAACTTCAGATCTGGAAAAGATAGCATAAATGTCACTAAAGAGAAAGAGAAGGGAATGAGCATTTATGTAACACCTACTATGCTCTGGGTACTATGTTAAGCACTTTACAAATGTTTTTTCACTTGACATTTATGAATTAGGAAACAGAAGCACATTTATGGATTAGCAAACTGAGGCACAGAGAGGTTGTGACCACTGTCACACATAGCTAGTTAGTGACAGAAATGGGATTGGAGCCCAGGTCTGGCTTCCAGCCCAGCCACTCTTTCTAATACACTGATTTGGCCACTAAGCTTACTACCCAAAGGGCCACTTAGATTTTGTGCAAATGCACTGAGTAGGATAAGTCACAGCTGATCCATTTATTTCTGCCACTCTGGCCATCCAAGCGGATAGCCACTTTATTGATTTAACTATGGCAATTAGCCCAAAAAGAATGGATTGAGCATCCTGGGATGCAGTCTTTCAGAGACTGCATTGTTGGCTTTTATTGCGATTTTTTTGGCAAGATGAAGAACATGAATTGGAATTTCCAATTATTGTCTTGTGGTTTAAAGGAGAGAAGCTGGTGCGTGCTAACAGGGCAGATTAGACTTTCACATAGTTTACCAAATGTATGAGGCTGTGTTTAAGAGAGGATAATGATTATCTCAGAGGAGGAATTCAAATGATGAAGGCCTTTGTGATTGAGCTTGCCAACTGTCTGAGTAGCGTAAAGGATTAAACCTCATTCTGGAATGAGTACTTGACTATAGATCAAATAAGTTTACTGAAGAATTAAAAAGATTAAGAAATGCATAACTATATGAAAGGATTTACATCTTTGAATGCTAGAGGTTTTTAACTTAAAGGCAAAGGTGTATGTATGATTGGGCAGTGAAAGGGCAAAGAATGAAAGATTGGCATTGTTTTACTTAAAGTATGTGATTCAGAATGTAAACCCAGACATAGGTCTGATGCACTATGTTCATTAAACCTTGAAATGCACACCATTTAGAAGAAAAATTGGTTATCTGTCATAGAATTTTTTTAATGTAATGATACCCAATTTGCTGGATTACAGTAAACAGAAAAATCCATACAAAAAGGAAAAGATTCTTTGAATCAGAGGTTAAATTTTGGTAAGAAGCTAGAGGAAAAATATGGCTATATTGGCTGTCAGCTAGTTCAGTGTTTATTTTTTCTGCCTCTTGGACAAATATGCGTCTGCTTAAACTACTTCTACAAACTAACATTTTATATGTCTTTTGTTTTTAATAGAATGTCTCCATTATGGCCTGAATTGATTAAATATGGATAAGGAGCTGTGCAAAATGGAATCAACCCATGTTTTATTGCTTTTGTCTTTACATTCTTAGAGAGTATGGGCAAGAATGGTTTTGAGAAAGAATATGAAGCTATTGGCTCCCTAATATAACTCAGATTTTCATAGTGCTTTAAGGTAAACAAAAGACTTTCCTACCAACAGCCTGGTATGGTAGGTAGTATAACTACGTTATCCCTATTTTACAGATGAGGAAAATCAGGCTCTGAATCCTAGTGATTTGCCCAAGATCACATGGTTGATAAGTAGTGAAGTTGGTATTTGAATTTCAAGACTTCCAGGTCTAGGTCTTTGCACCACACTGTGCTGCCTCTCACTAATACAACATCATGAAAACAAATAAAAGAATTTGTTGTAGCGATCTATTTTCTAGTGTCCCAAATAGGACCTCCCGTAAGGTAGGAGTACTTAGCCTTTTTGTGTGTCATAGACCCCTTTGGCAGTCTGTTGAAATTTATGAACCCCTTCTCAGAAAAATGATTTCAAATACATACAACAAAATACAGATTGTCCCAATGAAATGAAACTTTAATAGCTTAAAACTGTACTAAGACTTTTTGGGATACCTGATTTATAGAATTACAAAGGAAATCAACTACATTGAATAAAATTAAATAAAATATGTATCCATGTATGTATATATGCATGTATATATATATACACACACATGCATACCTAGCCACATTTATAGATCCGATAAAATCTACCAGCAGACTCTTTGAAGGGGTCCATGGATCCCAGGTTAAGAACCTCTGCCCAAAAGGAAATAGTGTTTCCTTCCCTGTGGTTTACACAAAAAGAAATTTCTTCAACTTACATGCATATTAAGGTCTTGCTCAGGATAATCACTTAAAGAAACTTGGCACAGAAACAGAACCCTAAGTTCGTTGCTGTTTTCATTACATTTACTTTAGTACTTCAGAGATCCATGACTTCATCAGTGGGGGTATTTCCTTCACTATCCAAGCAGATTGCAAGGCCTCCACTGTAGATACTTTAATACTGCTGTGGCTGAAAGATAATTCTTCACTTTTTGACCAATTACCTGGTAATGAGCCTTTCTAACCTTGGTGGAACTTTAGACAGACAAATTCTGTAATATGCTTAGTCTTTTAGGATGTTTTTTATTTGTATCCCCACCATCACCCTGCCCTCAATAGAATGTAAACTCCTTAAAGGCAAGGGCTATTTCATTTTTACCTTTGTACATCCCATGCCTACAGGACCTGGCACATAATGCCAGAGTCCTAGTACATATTTGTTAAGTTGGTAGTACTTGTCAGACTGAGTACTCTACAACCATAGCAGAATACAGACTCAGAGAATTTACAGATGGAAGAGAACCATGGCCATCCAATCCAACCCAAACCCAAAATGTTCCTTCAGAATATACTTGACAAGTGGTCATCTACCCTCTGCTTAAAGACCTCCAAAAATAATGATAGTTAGCATTTATGTAGTTTTTTCAAGGTTTGCAAAGTGCTTTACAAATATCTCATCTGATCCTCAACAGCCACCCTGTGAAGGAGGTGCTATTAGTTTGCTATTATTTTAATTCAGGTCTCCTGGTCAAGAGCTCAATTCACTATACCACCTAGATGCCAAGGAAGAGCAAGTAGGACACCATAAGACCTTTGAGTCTATGTAATATGAGGATAGTCTAAAGGAATTGGGGATGCTTAGCCCAGAGAAAAGAAGCTTCATAGAAATCATGATAGCAATCCTCAAATATCTGAAGGACTATCACATAGAGTAGGCATTATTCATTTGGTATCCAGAGAACAGAGTTGGGAACAATGAGAGACAATTGCAAAGAGAAATATTTTGGATTGATGTCCTAACAATTATAGTTATCCAAAAGCAGGATGGCCTGTCTAAAGAGTTGATGTGTTCCCTCTTTTTGGCAGCTATGTGACACAGTGGATTGAACACTGGAATCTGAGTTAGGCAGATGAGAGTTCAAATCTAGTCTCAGAGACTTACTAGCTGAGTGATCTTGGGCAAGTCACTTAATCTGTGCCTCAGTTTCCTCATCTGTAAAATGGGGGATAATAATAGTACCTTTCTCTCAAGGTCGTGGTAAGGAGAAAATGAGATCATATTTGTAAAGTACATCACAAACCTTAAAGTCCTATATAAATGCAAGCTAATATTATTTTTAATTTTTATATGATACTATTATGTTATGTATTATTATGTATTATACTGTATTATTATATTATATATTATACATACTTACACATTATACTTCTTTAATAATAATTACTATTATTACATGTATACTATCTAGCTTACCAATATCCCTCTTAAACTATGGTTCCCAGAAGTGAACACCTTAGCTATCAAGAAGGCCCTGATACAGAGGGTTGTTCTTAATTTTATTATTGAATTAATTTGAGTATCAATAGGATTTTCCTTGGGACCATATTTGCATATCATTTCTATAAGACCTAACAATTATATCTTTATTTTTATCAGTTTTTTTTCTTTTTTTTCTCTCTTCTTCTCTCCCTCCCTCCAACTGTTAATTTATTGGTATGAAACTCCCAATGAGGAAAGCCCCTCTACCAATGCAGATTAATGATTGTTCAGCAGCTTGTGGTTTCAAAGAGTCGTTCACAGCGTGAAAGGCTAAGTAACTTGCCCAGGGTCACAAAGTCAGTATACGTCAAATCCTTTGTACGGCAAAAGACTTGAACCAGGTCTTTCTGATTCCAAGCTTTCTATCCCCTGCTTTATCTTGTCTCTCGTTCAAAATGTTGTTAGCCTTCAATTTTTTATCTATTTTTTTTCTTCTCAGTAGCTTTTCATAGACCTGTGCTAAGCCCCAATCTATAGCACAATGGAGTTTACAGAGAAAGGGACGAAGTGGTAGCTACCAGCAAAAATCTCCATCACAAAATTTCTG